ACGTCACGCACGCACGCACGCACGCACGCACGCACGTACACATACACATACACACACTTTGATATATTTAACATACTGAAATACTTTGTCAGTTTTACTATAGAATATTCGGTTAGCATACTCTCAAAATAGCGCATTCCCTTTTTAAAATAATTATATTGTAATAAAATAAAATTAGTAATGATTGTGTCTGCAATGCATATGATCATGCTTAAAATCTAATGTTGTTTCAGCAAAAGGTATCTGCCATAACGCAAAAGTTGAATTATAGTGCACATGAGATTTTTTTTATACTTGCACTTGTGTTATAATAGAAGAGAGATTTGAATAAACAGTAATGAACAAACTTCATAAAAATATTAAATTTGTCGAATATAATATCTATATAGTATGTTCGTGACAGAGATAAAAAGAGGAAAAAAAAGAGAAAGAACGAAAATCAAGATGAACGGTAAATACTACTTAATGTGCCTGTGTAATCGCATACACGAAGTTACGTGATACTAAAGCGCACATATCAATCGATGATTAGAAATCTTGTGATCTGATTTTCTGCCAGTAAATGCAAACCACAGACAGGATGGTAACCAGGACAGTACATGGACAAGAGCAGGTAAACAATCTCACAAGATTTTTTATTATTTACAAAACCGAAAAATGTTAACAACTTACCCCCCTATTGTTTGAAGTTTAGTGGATTCAAGTTGACGTGCTGCTTCTTCCGTCCTCTTCAATAGCAAAACCTATGAAATTTAAAGTAAGAACTAAATGTGAAATTAAGTAGACATATCGTAAATATATTTGAAAGATGTTTTAAAGCTATGAGAATATCATTTTCAATGATAAAGAAAAGCATTTAATGATTCATCATAGATATACACGTATGTAATACATAATGTATGTAATACATAGATGTATATCTACAAAAATTTTTTAAATTGTTGTAATTACTTTATATAAATGGCGTCTTAATATTAATGTAAAGATGATTTACTTTTTGCGATAAGTTTCTAAAGTGCATTTCTTGGAGCATGCTACTGTGACGATGTATATTTTCATGACGGGAGATGGCCAGCAGTACTCCTCGTTCAGGCACATATCGGCACACTGCTGCCCCTATCGCCTTTTGAAATTCCTTATGTGCATTATCCATCTTTGCACTGTAATATACAATAGAGTCGACGTAACTTTTTCTTTACAATTAATAATATACAAATTAACAGCCAAAGCATATTTCACAAATAAAGTTACATTGTTATCTGTAACTATACTTAAAAATGAACATAGATATGCGACAAATTATTATCCTTATTCTCAACACTTACAAGTCTCTGAGTTCTTCAGGTACTTCAATTTCGATCTTGTGAAATGTGTGTTTATCAATAGGGGGATTTGGATTTTTAGCTCTCAGTCGCTCGCTAGCTACTATTTCGGTATACGTGTAATCCCATCCCAAATATTCGACTACTTGAAAACCTCCTTTGCTCATCTAAAGAATAAGAATTATTTGAGAAATGAAGATATTCTGTGTGTATGTGTGTGCGTGCGTGTGTGTGTGTGTGAGGGGACGCGCGCGCGCGCAGGAAGGGAGAAAAAAACGTTATATTGACGCTATAGATGATAATTAATATTTCTAAGGGCCATAGCACACAAAAAAAACTAAGCAATAAGCGAATCAGCCAATCACAATAGAGAACGTGAGACAGTAACATAAGCAATAGCAAATCCATAATGTTGATTTCCTTAACCACTTAAGTTTTTTTATGTGCTATGGCCCATAGTTATAGATGCACTATAACTATGTATTAAATTTGTGTATATTTTTTGTTCAAATATACAAAATATTGATACAAGTAGTATGTCCATATTGGACAGCATTTATTAAAGTGTCATTTTGCATACCTTGATAAGTGCTTTCCACCAGCCCCATGCTTCTTGATCGTTAGACCTGGAGAATACCTCGATCTCTTGATTCTCCTGAAATTCTGTTTTGGAACCATCTTTTGGAGGTAGACGGACTTGAGCAAATGGGAATTTCGATTCGGGTTGCCAGCTGAAAATATATATTATATATTTAATTAGTTTGAGTCGTATCATTACATACATTATGCATATTTCCTATATAGCAAAAAATTAACAATAAAGAGATATTTATTTATCCTTAAATATCACGTGCTTAATTAATTAAAGATAAGTTCTCTAGTGAATGTTACAGAATAAGAACAAGAGAGAAGAATATATGTAAATGCGTACATAAAAATTTAAATTATTTTACAAAAATTGCCATGATTGCAAAAACATTTATGTATATATGTACATATAAACATATCTATTCCATGATCCATATCTCCAAATCTCTTTTAATGATAACAATGCCTTTAAAAGTGGCTTAAAAGCCATCTAATTGAATGAGAAACAACATTTAAAGCATTCTTGTTGATAAAACTGAATTCAAAGCAAACTTCTCACTTGATTTTACAATTCATATCATAATTTCTGATCAATTTTTTTAACGTTCTATCCATCGTTAGATTTCCTATGTTTCCTCTCTTATGTGTTTATATCCCTTTTATTGCTGCTTCATTACTATGTAATATGTGTGTATGTGTGTGTGTGTGTATGCGCTTAGATTACATACATGCGTGCACCCATTTCACGCATACACAGTGATGTATTGCATATAGGCAAAAATACAAAATAATACATCACTATCAAGATACATAAAGTATAACTTTGTAGACTTTTGATTATGTAAATTTGTACAATGTTTCATAGCGAAATATAGAAAAGATATTTTATATCATTAAAAAAACATCGATAAAAACAAATATTTGACAATCACTTCCATTAATAAATGCGATTATTGCTGGTACAATCAATGTTGTATCAAAACATAAAAAACACATGCTCTTGTCAAATGTGGCGAGTCGAAAAGGAAACTTACTCATTCTCGAAAGTTACCAAAACTTCGTCGTCAAAGACATCGGTGACAAAGGCCTGAAAAAAGTTATATACGAAGTATGTAGTAAGTTGTTTTATAGGAATCAGGAATGTAGCGAGTAGTGCAGGCTAATCAAATGTAAAATCACGATTCGAAGGAGCGAGAGGGGAAGACGGGTGAGGGGAAGGGGAGTTGTGGGGAGGGTACAACAACGTTAACGAGTTCACATAAATTAGTTTGGGATATCGCGAAGCGAGTTTTCGAGATGAAATGGTATCGCGCGCGAAAATATACAACGAGATAAGCCGAGGAAAAATCACGCCCTGTCAAACGAGACATGGCGTCGAAGGAAGCCGCGTTACCTCGCGAACATTTGAGGACCGTGCATTCGCGAAGTACGAGCTCCCGTTTCGCGAGATTACGATCGCGCCATAGCTTGTGGCTCGGCCTATCCGCCACCCGATGCCTCCGCCCGGTTTTTTCTATACTTTTCACAGAACGAACCTTATAATACGCTCCGTTTTCGCCGCATACTTCGACTGTGAGATCCTCCATCTTGCTTTTGTGTGACGGTTCGGCTCCTTTGCAGCAGGCATGCCGTAGAGCGGGCGTCCGCACGAGTTCGGCGCTGCGAATTTTCCGTGCGCCAATCACGCGACTCTTTTCCGTGACGCCGAGGCAGTATTGGGCAGCGTCGGCAGTGCTGCCAACGGAGGAGCGTGTTATCTCTCTTGGAGAAAGATCCTAAGGTATGATCTCGATCTACAATAGATAATTTAACCTTAAGCAATAAGAAATGGACGAATCATAGTCGAAGAATAGTAGAATAATCAACTATTATTGGTCAATTTCTTTAAGGCTTAAATCACTTAGTGTCGGTCCACAATAGGTGATTTAAGCTTTAAGAAATAAGAAATTGACCAATTATAATTGAATATGAAAAAAATAATCGACTATGATTGGTCAATTTTTTATGGTTTAAAAATTAAATATTTATTGTGGACCGACACTTATTGTATCAGGACTTAAGCAATGTCTACAATAAGATTTTAGTGTCGGTCCACAATAAGTATTTAATCTTTAAGTCGTAAGAAATTGACCAATCATAGTCGATTATTCTTTCAATTTCATTTATTACAGAAATAAAGGTATACACAAAAATTTACTTAGGCAATAGTATATTATTATGGATTAATTATTATATCTATTATTATATCTCTCTTTTTAATTCCTGAATAAATTGTTTTTAAAAAAATAGGTGGTCAAACAATGTTGCGCAACAGACGATGTAGAAGCTCAATACATAAAGAATGAAATCCTGCCTCACTTCTTTAAACATTTTTAGAATCCTCTCCAGATAGCCCAAACCTGAAAAGACAGATTATGCGCAAAGTTTATTATAAATTTCTGAAATTAGAAAGGCAACAGATTGCTAACAGATTTTGTAATATCTGACAATGTTAGCAAACTGCTGGCAGAAACCTGACAGAATCTGTTAACATTCTGTGCCAGCAGATTCTAGCAGCAGAAATCGAGCAGACCCTATTGCGGGCTACTGTCAGATTGGCGGCAGAAAGCGAGCAGGATTTGCGCGACACAATTTGATGGCAGGATATGCTCAATTTCTGTTGCCAGTCTGCTGACACAGAATGTCGACAAATTCTATCAACAGAATGTAAGCAGAATGGGATCTCAGATGAAGTCTGCTAACATTTTTTAATTAAATCTGTTGTCAATTTGTTGACATTCTGTTAACATTTTGTTGACTGGGACTGTATGACATTGGATCGCAGAAATTAGACAGGATAATTGAAAAATATTTTAATATATATTATTAATAGAATATATTGGTGTGTGTGTGTGTGTGTGTGTGTGTGTGTGTGTGCGCGCGCGCGCGCGCGCGTGCGTGTGTGTACATTTTTAATTATATATTTAATAAAATAAATGAAACGATTTCAGCTTGTGGATACGACAGTAGAAATAATCAAAGTGGTCAATAAAGCGGGCACATCAGAGATGTGCCTTACCTCTTGACAAGTCTTCATAATTATTGCGATGCGCGTAAAGCTGTTGTCACATTATACATTACGGACGCGAATCGGATTGGAATTACGGATCGGAATTTAGTCAATCAAGGCGACGCTGCCTCGCCTTGATTGGTTAAATTTCGATCTGCGATCCGTAATCCTAATTCGATCCGCGTTCGTAATACGTAGTGTGACAACGGCTTAAGATCAGCGTCTTGTCGTACTTTCGCTAGATTTGTTATTCAACCTAAACTAAACTAAAATTATGTCGTTTAGAGCTTTTCGTTGGTACCAACATTATCCTTTCTATTTTTCGGGAAAATGTCGTCTAACAGTCAAAAAGAACAGGCTTTTAAAACGAGGTAAAAATTACAAAAGTGTGGAAATTTACTAGAGTACTGCGACTTCATACGTTTAAATCTAGTAAATTTCTTCACTTTTGTAATTTTCATTTGGTTTCAAGTATACAATCAATTTCCGAAAAACAAACATAATGCAGGGTCTACAATGCGATTGTAATATCGTTACAGCTCTACGACCAACCAATCGGAGAAGAAAAAATCATATATTCTCTTCTCTGATTAGTCGGTCGTAGAGTCGTAACGACATTACGACCGCATTGTAGACTCCGCCTTATGTAACGTGAACTATATGTTTCGGTATTGGCAATGAATATATCGGAATGCTGCTATACATACATGGCAGCCGTAGCAATATCGGCTCGTATTGGCTTCGTTTGGTACTTATAAATGTCGTTGGCGTTTGAACAACTGTAGCTTGATGTAACCTAGTGTAACCGTCGAGAATTATACGTGATTATCTGCTGGAGTTGGAAGACGAAATATGATTCCGTGCAATTTAAGTTTGCTCCGATTGTTTCCGTTTTCTCTCGTTTGCATTTGCATTCGCGTTTGTGGCTGAACGACGCGTGTGTCGACGACTCCAATGCGAGAACAAGATTGTCCTCGTTGATTATTTATCGTGGAGAATGATGTCGGGCAGCAGCGATTCAGAGGAATTTTTCGACGCGGAGGACGATTCGTTTCACCGCACGTCGCGGTAATTATCGCCTTCTCTCTATCCTCTATCTCCATTTCGCGATTATGTCACGAGTAGCAGATACTTAGAGATGACTCCTATATAGCTCGTTTAGATAATTCGTCATATTCATTTTCATATATTTACGCTCTTTATCATCTAATCGCGCTATTACGCGCACGTTGCGTCGATTCGTTTCGCTTTATACATACCTTCGACGCATCTTTACAGATTACACGACGAGGTAATTCATTCTTGGCATCATGTATCATAGAGAAAAAAACTGCGAAAATTATATAGCAGCGATAAATTATATGGCCTTTCATGCAGTTTCGATTTATTTCGTATTTATTTCTAGAAATATTTAGAAATCTCTAGTATCTCGTATCTCGTTATCCAATTGTTTTCAACTTTACTTCTGGCTAGACTTGCAAGAAGTATAACTATGCTGTTTTGTTATATAAATTTTAAATAATTATACATGTTATGAGTGAAAACATATATGAAATAGTTTATAATACATATACATATATGAAATAGTTTATAATACGTATAAACTAATATAACGTATTAACCTTTTGTTTTCTTAGAAAAGTTAAGCAGCGTGATTCTACTAGTGCCGATACTACAAAAATATCGCAAGTTTGCAAACAAGAAGATGATTGTATTTTTGTAAAACCTGCCGAACCAAAATCAATTGTCGAGCCAAACAGTCGTGCATCCGTAGACTGTGGCTCAAATAAAGATAAACTTGTGAGTATATTACTGTAATATTGGATAGATAAACATTTCTATACATGTTTATTGCGCTGGCTAGATATCTGAGAAAAATTGAAAACAAGAGAAAATATATGTTTTTTTCTTTTTTTTCCTTTTTTTTTTTTTTGAGATTGGAACAAATTTATTTTGATGTGCATGTAATATATTATCTTTGGTATATCTGTGTGATATTTCACATATAAAATATATCTTTTCGGAATAGTAAGCGAATAGGCAAGTTTTAATACACAGTATATTTTAGGATGAAGATAGCAAGGAATGTACCATGGATAAAATTGTGGGTAGAAGAAGATTTCGTGAACTTCGACAACGCATGCAAACGGAAGATGATGATATTCCGATCAATAGTTCTCCTCCAGATAGTCAGACATCTTCCATCGAGGGTGTTTATCCTACTCCTTCAAAAACAACCCATCCGTTCAGAATTATAGAACACGACACTCTCAGCTTACAAAGTATGACTTCTCTAGGACGAGTGGGCCGAATTTTGGCAGGAGTCGTAGATAACGCTTCTGGCGTTGTTGCGTCTGGTATATCCCAGTGCCCTCCTCCTGCCGCCCTTACCCGTGAGAGTCAGATGTCCTCCATTGCTAGTATTCCGAGCAAAGATGAGGACACAACCTCTGGTAAGGTGTCCCTGTCTTCCAGCATCCTTACGTTATCAGGGGATGCCCTGCAGGAATCCTCTGTTAACGGTAGATCCACATATGCCTCTCACTCGCAAAGTGACAAGACTATTATGCTTCAAGAACCCGATGTCATCGCTAGTACAAAGAATAATGGAAAATCAATGGAAGATGTCGCGATGCCTGGTGTACCCGTTGCTCCACCGCGTCGTAAAAAAAAACCAAGACAAATATATCCAGCGATCTCGCTGTAAGGTTCATCGCGATTATATTTTTATTAGCGTATCGATAATATCGTATATGCGGACGTATTTAATTCTATGCTGCTAATTTTAGCCTTCCACAGAAGTGCTCGTTCCCGCATCGCCACTTCCAAGTCCAGCAAGTACTATAGAATCGATTACCAGGGAATTTGAGCACTCTCTCGATATTCGATCTGCAACGAAAGGTCAATATGTCGTTAAACCACAAGTAAATACTCGTTTCTTTTGTTAGCAAGCAAAAAGAAAAACAATTTGAAATTTTAATTTGTAAAATATTTTCTTGTTCAAAATTTGCCCGCGCGTGTTTGCGTGAACGCGTGTGTACGCATACATGTGTACATGTAATTATCTTTTCGTTAGGATGAGGATAAATTGAAAGCCGAAGGTCCGTCTACCGAGGAACTCGAAAGAGTAGAGAGAATGAAGGCAGAATTGCTCAGTCGATCGAGCGAAAAGTCTAGTAGTCCATTAGGGTCAGCATCGAGCAATAGTATCGGCCGTTATTCTCTAGGTCCATATAAACTTTCGATAATAAGCCCGAGTATGAGCCCGCAAGGTTCCAAGGAAAGACGTAAATCCGCCGGTGATCAAGATATGGTTAAACAATTAAATATGTTCGTAAGGACTAGGACGGACTCTGGCAAGCGTCTCACCGACATGGTTCGTAGTCACGTCGATCGATTATTCCAAGCATAAATATTTTACGTCGCGTATAATCGTTAAACCATTAAAGTGCCATTTATTCTCGTAGGAAATCCTGGAACAAGTACCTGTAACGAATTTGGATACGGGGGAACAGGTGCCATTGAGTATAGCAGAAGATAAATTACCGCAATGTATCAATCCTTTGTCACTACACATTATGAGACTAACTAAATCTAAATATATAAGCAATTCTAGTCTCGAAAAGGAGAAAGAAAGCGATGAGGAAAGCGTGGATAGCAAAATGTCCAGTATACCTCCGGATGAGGATGTATCCGTGGACAGAGTTCGAAAGCGGACGCAAAAGTTGAAACGATTCCTAGGATCGACCGTAAAAAAGACCATGGATAAAGCGAAATCTATTGCGCAAGAGGTATCGCACGCGAGACACAAAGAAGACGTTATGGACATAGTCGACGAAGTCTATCCCGGTGAACAACAATATATCAAATTGAAAGCGTCCAACAGCCATAAAGGTCCGTACGAGTTTAGTTGCTTACAGCACGTTCAAGATCTTAGCGGGGAACACGTAGGACCCGTTTGGTGTATGAAGTTTTCAGCTTGCGGTCGATTGTTGGCCACCGCGGGACAAGATCGCGTTCTAAGGATCTGGGTTTTACGTGACGCTTTCACATATTTTCAGGATATGCGAACAAAGTATAACGCGGAAAAAGTCAGCCCTACTCCTTCGCAGGAATCGTTAGTTTCGCAACAATCCATGGAAGATCCCAACGTCGTGGCTAGTGCCTTTAACGAGATAGAAGGAACGAAAAGTCCGTTTATGCCAAAGCCATTTTGCACCTATACCGGTCACACTTCGGATCTGCTCGATGTTTCATGGTCTAAGAATTACTTCATTTTATCCTCATCGATGGATAAAACCGTACGACTTTGGCATATATCTCGCAAAGAATGCTTATGTTGCTTTCAGCATATCGACTTTGTCACCGCCATAGTATTCCATCCGCGGGACGATCGGTACTTTCTCTCGGGATCACTGGACGGTAAATTACGCTTATGGAATATACCAGACAAGAAGGTCGCGGTATGGAACGAAGTCGACGGACAGACAAAGTTGATCACCGCGGCAAATTTTTGCCAGAACGGCAAGTTCGCGGTTGTGGGATCGTACGACGGTCGTTGCATATTCTATAATACCGATCAATTGAAATATCATACGCAAATACACGTCCGATCGACAAGAGGAAAAAATTCCACCGGTCGCAAGATCAGCGGAATCGAACCTATGCCGGGAGAAGACAAGATATTGGTTACATCAAACGACAGTCGTATTCGTTTGTATGACCTAAGAGACTTGAATCTATCTTGCAAATACAAAGGATACGTGAACGTCAGTAGTCAAATTAAAGCGAGTTTCAGTCCCGATGGACAATATATAGTTAGCGGTTCCGAAAATCAATGTATCTACATTTGGAAAACTCATCACGATTACTCGAAATTTTCTAGCGTTCGAAGGGATCGAAATGATTTCTGGGAGGGAATAAAGGCGCACAATGCCGTAGTAACGTGCGCCGTATTCGCACCAAATCCAGATAGCATTATCAAGCAAATCGAAGCGAGAGAACAGTGGGAGAACAAAGAGGAGCAGCCAAGAAACAACGTGGACAACTCGAGCGCGAGAGTTCCCGTCGATCCCGTAGTCGAGCAACGTACCAAAGGTTGCGGAGGTCATGTCCTCGTGAGTGCCGATTTCAACGGGTGTATAAAAGTTTTTTTAAACAAGACAAAACCGAAGCACAGTTCTCTACCGGCATCCGCACTCGCGTAACGTAATATCATGTATCACGTATGAATTCAAGCGATACAGTAATCGAGAAAGCAAACGTGCGTGCGCGTTCTCATCGCGCGAACGCGCTTTTCCCTCTTTCGTTTTCTCCTTTCGCACGTTCGAGTTTCATCACGGGCTTATATCGGTCGACAGATAGAATTGCGTACAATCGACCCTTTTTTTTCTTTTTCCTTCCAATATGATACTTTTCATATCAAATACAAGCAGTTTTGCGCGCGCGTATGTATGTGTGGATGTGTAAGTTGTATATATATTTATGTAGGTATGTATGTAAATATTTTTTTATCGTCCAGTACACACACACACACACACATATATATATATATATATATATATATATCGAGAAAAAAAAGGTGATTAACTCGACAAAATTGTTTGTTCAACTTGACTATATATGTTCGGTTCGAGTATTTTTATATATGTAAGTTGAATGTAATACGAATAATCGAACCGAAGAAATTTAATCTAGTTGAAAAATTTAGTCAACTTTTTTTTTTTTTTCTCAGTGTAAAGAAATCTTCCGAGTGTCATTAATGACAAATTTTCTTTTCAAATTTTCTTGACAACGGATATGTAACGTAAAACTTTCTACCGAAAGTTTTACCGAAAGTTTTACCGAAAGTTTTACCGAAAGTTTTACCGCTCATTAAACAAATTTTATATATTTCATATTCGGAATATTTTCTTTTTCAAGGGATGTCCGAAAGATTTAATTCATCTCTTTCCTTTGGAATCGCAATTCGACGGTGCTGGTTCACTATTGTAAGATTATGGATATCTCACGAGATTTATCAAAATTATGTCATAGAACGACAGCAATAAATCGTCACTGAGAAGACGTGACAAATATCGAGTCGTTTTCACATACCGTGCGTATAACAAAGACACGACGAAGACGAGAGCACCTTGTTGAAAACGAAGTATAAAAGAAGGTACCGGCGACGGTAAAATAGCTTGGAATAGCTCGTTTTATTCATTATATATCGGATTCATAGATCTATAACTAAAACCAAAAAATTATCTCATTACCTATCAATAATGAAGCGCTAAATAGGAATTGCTAATTCGTATAAACATCATACGAGATTTCGCAAAATCCTAACGCTTTTTAAATCGTGTTATTCTCGAAACGGTAGTAGGTAAGATAACACATTGAAGACAATATCAAAGGTATTTTAAAGCGAAAATATATGATGATTGCGTTTTTCTACGAACGTTGTACACATTTTAGGAAACAAGGTCGTATGATCATCGGGAAATATCAGGGCGACGTAGAATATACGCGTTAGTTTCCACGATTAAACGTGCGTATATAGTCGTATATTCGACGTATCGATATTTCCCGTAGAAATCGTACGTACACGATACTCGTTATTCAGAGTTTAACATTACAATACACTACATCGGATCATATATATGACAGTGAGATGCATCGCGCAATGTACGTACTTTCGCATCCCGTCAATTATACGAATGGAATGTTATTTGTAAGAACGTAATGGTGAGAGGATAACTCGGAATTTTCAAGATGATAGGACAATCTTCTTTCTTTTCCGCAGTGCGTAACTATGTAATAATTTGGAAACATTCGCAATCAGACGTTAACTATTCAAATCGGATCACGTTTACAGTTACGAGTGATTAAGATAGATACAGTCATAGATCGATCAAGATTCGCAGCAACGAGCAACATGAGTTTCACAAATAGGATAGTTGAATCGGCAATTGCAATGTAAATATGTAGAGAAGAATCATAAGTATTTTGTGTAAACGCAATTGTAAATATAATAATAATAATAATAATAATAATAATAATAATATCGATATCGTTGTATCACTCATATTAAAATGTTTAAGAGAAACCTTATCTAAATCCTTTATAAGTAGAAGTAGACGACAAGAGACGGAAATTGATAAATTAATAACATACAATGTAAAAAGAGTGTACATGTATCGATGTTTTCTTCTTATTAAATTTATTTTAGTTTGTTTTTCCAGACAGAAGGGGTAGAAATATGTAAAAAATTCGGAAAAATTAACGAAGTGACTGAGATTTGAATTCAGGATTCTTTGTTTACGAATCATGACATTCAATTTGCACGATCACAACAGCTTTGATATAACAACTTCTGAATCCGAGCAACTATTTAAACTTTATGATTTTATGTTTCTAGAAATATAATATTATTACACCATTATTGCACTTTTGATGCATTTAACACACGTAACTGTTAAAACGATTTTCGTGATGGCAGTTGTTTAATGTATGAAAGTATAAATGTGTTTAATGTATGAAAGTATAATGTGAGAATTAATTGCGGAAAAGGAACATGAATTAGTATTAAGAGACGGGAATAATCGATTTTTCTTTTTTTTTTTTTTTTTCTTTTTCTATTGTTGTTTTTGGGTTAACCGTAAATTGTACTCGTCCTAACCAAATTATTGAAAG